CGAGAGTGTATAGCGCCAGTGCAAAGGTTATGACTCAGCATAATGCTGCAGGGTAACCTACAACGCTGATGATTCTGCCATAACCACAGAAACTTTTTTTTTTACAACAACAAAACTACATATTATACACAATTCATAAGTACAGTGCAACATAAACCTATATAAGATTTTTCTGCACACTGCAGTTCGTCGTCTTTCGAGCGTAAACATTTTAATATTATTTAGAGTAAGAAGGTAGTTCGCTCGCTTCTATAACAATAACGTGAAGATGAGTTGTAGTATACAGGTTGTTCAGAGGAAAAATTATTTTTATATTTTTGAAATATAAATATAGTAATTAAATTACAATTAGTCTACATATATAATAGTATATAGTATACAAATAGTATATTGTATTAGGTTTAGTTATATTATGTTAGTTATTATATTAGTTGATTCATAAAGTACGTTTTTAATTTGTTTTTAATATTTTTAGGATTGATATCTTCCTTTAAGGTTTTAGGTAGTTTATTAATTAATTTAGGAATAATAATCTTATTTTGTAGATCTCCATACATATTTTGTGTTTTAGCTATGATTTTAGTTTATGACATTCATTTCAATACTTATTTTATAAATTGAATTATTTCCTTGCTAATAAATATACCTAGATATACATTTAGGGATATACACACATACATACATACAAGACATATTATACATAAATATATTCATATCATATTATATTCTATATAAAACTAAAAAGGTTTCAAAACATATATAAAAATAAACGTAACAATAAGCTTAGAAAATACACACTAAAAACAAACATATAATGCTCAACGATGCTGGAAGATAGGCTCAAGGTTGAGCTTTTTGTGAGTGTAATAAATGATTTTTATAATGGGATTTAAAATTGTACTTTGAATTACACTCACGAATAGGTGGAGGAATGTCGTTCCAGCACCTTGTAGCTATATATTTAAAACTACCTCTGAATGCTGCAGAACAGTAAGTGGGATTGGCAAGCGGGTTCGTACAAGACCTAATGATGTTTTATCGATTTCTCCATATAAGTTTATCATATAAATATAGGGGTGACTTAGTTTTGACAACATCAAATAGAAGATTAGCGAGGTATAGTTCCTGTCGCGCTTTCATTTTCAAAATGCCTGCTTCATTGAAAAAAGATGTTACACGGGACCGTTTTGGTATTGAGAAGCAGTATCGTGCACATGCATTTTGTATACGTTGAATTAGACGTTGTGACTTTTCCAAAATACAGGGTCCATACACTGTAATGCAGTGGTTTAATTTTGAAAGAACGAGAGATTCACACAGTCTAATTCTTAAGTCCAACTGAATGTATTCGCGGATTCTATATAACACCTTTAACCTATAAAAGCAGTTGCGGACAAGCTCGAGTACGTGTTTTTCAAAACGCAATCTGCTATCCATAACTAAACCGAGGTTACGAGCTTCACCTACACGCTCCAGAGGGATGTTTAACAACATGATTTTAGGGTTTTGATTTTCTAAAAATTTGATTTGGTTTTTTGATCCTAAAAGTATATACTTAGTTTTTAGCGGGTTTAAAATGAGGGAATTTTTCTGTGACCATATTGCAATTCGATTCAGGTCCTCATTGATGTTACTAATTGCGGAATGAAATTCAAGTGAATTGCAGGAAAGATATACCTGTAGATCATCAGCATATAGGTGGTATTTGCAGAAGTGCATGCAGTTAGTTATATCAGCAGTGTAAATTATAAATAACAATGGTCCTAAGATAGAACCCTGTGGAACACCTCTATGAAGTGGTCGTTGTTCAGAAACAAGGGAAGACCCATTTGGTTGATTTAATATTACTTGTTGTGAACGGCCGCATAAGTAACTTTGAAACCATTTTATGGAAGATGTTACAAAACCATAAAACGATAGCTTAGACAGCAGCAAATCTATGTTAATAGAATCAAATGCTCTTGAAAAATCAAGCAGGGTAAGGATCGTACCTCTAACAGAGTCTTGAGATGTAAGAATATTGTCAACCACGTCACGTAAAGAAGTAGACGTGCTTCTACCTTTTCTAAAACCTGATTGTAAGTCAAGTAAAATATTGTTAGCATCACAAAACTTGACGACTTGATTATAAATAACTTTTTCTAAAATTTTTGAAAGAAAGGGTAGTATACTTATTGGCCTTAAGTCTTTGAGATCCTTAGGATCATTGTTTTTAGGTAAAGGACGTACGAGAGCTATTTTCCACGAAGAAGGAAAAGTAGATGTTTCAATTGACTTATTTATGATTGCTGTAATGACTTTTAACGTAGCCGGAAGTGTTAAGATGATCATATCCCTACTCAACTTATCAATACCGTGAGCATTTGATTTTATTGATAATATAATCTTTGCAACATATTCTTCACTTACATTGTGAAATTTAAATTCATTACACCCATATCGATGAAACTCATATTGAGTTAAATCAGAAATGGTTAAATTATTATTCCCGGGAACATTAAGAAAATGACTATTGATTATATTTGGGTCGTCGAAAAACACAGGAAGCGTTGTCAATTGCTTAATGTTAGGAAGGACGGACCGTTTCAAGTTCTTCCACAATAATTTCGGACGGTTTAAGTTATTATTAATTTGATTATTAAAATATGCTTTTTTCTCCCAGTATATACTAATGTTTGCCAAATGTTTCAAAGATTTGTATTGAATTTTATCGCTATCCAAATTAGTTTTCTTAAACTTTGCATGGCTTTTATTCCGAAGATTCATGATGTACCGAACATTGCTAGTTAACCACGGTGAATTTCGATCACGTACTGCTATGGACTTTTCAGGTGCATGGATGTTAAATATATTTAGTAACAAATAAGTAAAAATTGATACCATTTCATTAACGAAATCCATTTTAATTACACTTTCCCAATCTACTGAGGCAATCATATTATCAAAGTGAATTAAATTGATTTCTTTTATAGGTCTATAATTAATACATTTTAAATGAGGTTTGGGTTTAATTATTTTAAGGGTTGCCAGAATCATTGCATGTGCTCCAAGATCATTCACATGGTTAACTTGTATGCCCTTGACTTCAGCATCAGTACAGACGAGGTCGATTAACGTCTCGCTATGAGATGTAAAATGAGTGGGTTCTTTAACATAGTTTATCAGACTAGTATAATGCAGAAATTGTTGAATTCTCAAGGTCATATTATCGTTTTCATTAAGAACATTTATATTAAAATCACCCAATAACACTACATTGTCATAACACGAAAATGTTGCTAATGAATCAGTGAGAGCGTCGAAGAAAGTATCAACATTTACCCATTGGGGTCTGTAGGCTGTGCCTATTAAAATTCTAGTCGAGTTGATGACAAGTGATAGCCACATTTGTTCAACGTCACCAATTGAAGAAGAATGCGAACAAGTACGGACTGGAACACCACTCCTAACATAAAACCCGACACCGCCGCCACGACTACGCATAGAGGATGGACGGGGAATATGTTTTAGAGTATATCCAGGTATAGACGGTGCACGACCGGACTCTCCGGTCCTAAGCCATGTTTCATTTATAGCCATTAAATCCGGTGACAATCGCTCCAGTGCAACCTGGAACTCATCATGGTTAGTGCCAAGAGATCCCGCATTAAAAAGACCAATTTTCAGATATTTTGAATTGAATTAAAAGTCTTAAGAAACCACAACAGTAAATAACAGTGGACGTCCAGCCCGATTATTATAAGCGAATATACTCGACCGACTAAGAATAATAGTAAAACCTTATATGTTACAATTAGAAAATATAAAGACACACAAAAGCACCGAATGCGTGTAAATATTATTCGTAGATAAACATTTAACTCAGAACTAAATCTATTAAAATAACACGTAATAAAAATGTTGGGAATCATAGGACCACGGTACACTATACACATATAATATGATGTTCCATTTGCACACGAGTACATATATATCATATGAATATTACCGACGTACAAAAATACATATTCAGGTATATATACATATTTATATGTGTTGCGTAGTAAGTGAAATAGTAATAGCATTTTATAATAATATTTCGTAAAATAAATATTATGTTGGTAAAATATTTGAGATGCATTAATAAGGTATATTAAGTCAAAGAAATAATGTATAATGAAGAATATTCTAATTGTTATAGATATGGCCATCATTTGTTCAATGAACAGTAGTAGAAACGTTGTCATCAACACACATAATACGACACACACCTCCAACGATAGAAACATGTTTATGTTAAGTATAAAGTTACGCAAAGTAAGCGGCTTAGCCAATGAGAAAAACACAAACCACGTTAACATTAACAGTAGCAGTAGTAATGAAGTTACATTTTTACAAATTAGTTCAATTAACACATTAATAATTGCACTAAAATTAATCAAAATTATTCAAAAACCTATACAAATAATACAGGTTGAAAGCCAAAGAAACAAAAGAAAAATTATAAAACTAAAAAATAGAAGTAATGAGGTTACATTTTTATAAATACGTTCATTTAGCACATCTATATTCACACTAATATTAAAGAACTTTATTAACAAAGTTATACAAATAATACAGGTAAAATACCAAATGAATAGAAGAAAAATTATATAACTATAAAATAGAGGTAGTGAGGTTACATTTTTATAAATAAGTTCTATTATCACATTTATAATTACACTAAAATCAAACAAAATTTTTTGTGTTTTAACAAACCTATACAAAAAATACAGACAAAATGACATAGGAATAAAAGAAAAATTATATAACTAAAAAATAGTAGTAATGAGGTTATGTTTTTATAAATTGGTTCATTTAACACATTGATAATTACACTAAAACTAAACAAATTTATTAACAAACCTACGCAGATAATACAGGCGGAGTGCAAAAGATATAAAAGTAAAATTATATAATTTAAAAATAGAAGTAAAATTTTAAAACATTTATAAAAACATGTAAAAACTTTTTTTAATTGGCTATTTCGAACTATTTTCTGATAAAACACCAGAAATACGTTCAATATCAGCAATAGATCGCAATTGGTGTATTTTCGAACTATCACTCTGTCTAGCAAATATACGTCCCTCCTTCGTCCAAATGTATTTCCAATTAAGACCTCTCCCAATATCACGTGCTTTTTCAAATAATTGACGATTACTACTGGTAAGCCTCTCATTGAGATAAAAAGGTCTAGGTTCATGTGATGGGAGGCCAAGATCTGCTGTTGTAGCCCTACGGCGAACACGAGCATTTCGTAACAATTCGTCTCGAATAACTCGACGACAGAGGCGTACCACAATATGACGATGACGTGGGGGACGTCCCAGGGCTTGTGTTTTTAAATGAGAAAAGCGTTGACTATTTCCCACTCTACTGGCGCTAACTACGTCACTCTCTTCGAGCTGAGTGCCCAACTTGGCTGCTACCGCAACAACGATGTGTGGAACTGATTCATTGCTATTTTGCGGGATACCAGAAATCTCAAAGTCATTTAATAAAGCCTGTTGATCACGCTCATTAAGATTAACTTGTAACTGAGTTATGGTGTTTCGCAAATCCTGATATGTGGAAGGTAAAGTTTGGTTTTTTAAAAGACACAACTCAGCCGGTAGATTTTCATTTTCACTCTCTAAAAGAGATATTTTGTTACTGAAAGACGATATGTCACTTTTTACCTCTACTAGTTGAGCAGATAAAAAATCTGTAGTTTCCGTAAATTCTTTTTTGAGTTTAGCCACTGCTATATCAAACTCTTGCTTAATCTCCTTAGTAATTGAGCTACGCATATGATTTAATTTCGTATCAAGAAGGGAAGAAAGTTGCTCAAGGGAGATATTAATACATTTGTCTGACTGGCATTGTAACATACTACTGGTGATGATCGTATTAGGTTGCTCAGTAGATAGCGACTCATTTAAGTCCCTTTGACCCTGAATAATATCCTCACATGACATGTCAGTCTGTTTAAGCGTTGATTCGAATTGTTTTCTAACAGGTGTGTCGTCCTTAATACGGTGTGATGTTACATTCACACATGAAGGACAGCACCATGTACGCTTAATATCATGATTTTTATTCATAAACTGAGCCGTAATAATATTTAGGCATTTATAATGATACGTGCCCTTACAGCGTATACAAACTAATAATTCTTCGCGACGAATCACTTGAGTACATGCTAAGCATTTCATGGTTTTGTATTATTCGTATAAATAATTTATACAGATAGTAAGCAAATGAATTCAATAAGCAGGTACTCGGTAAATAAACTGACGAGCCAAATGTGACCCCCTTGCTTAGCGACAGGCCTTTAATTAGATGCTGGAGCGAGCAAGATAGACTATGCGCAAATACAGGTCAACGACCGATACAAGCAAAGAATAGGTGTCACACCTCTCAGCTGACATTCACGGTACAAACAAATGCACGTAATTAATGCACTTTATAATACACTTTGCACAATGTTGATAATATTAATTATATCTTTCTAAAACACAAACATTAAATAGCAAAATATATTGACTTTAAAAAAGTTTGAAATAACTTTACAAGCTGATTAGGAACAAAATAAAGTAACAGCTGACTGATAACCGTGTTTACACTTCAACGGATCGCGCGTGTTTTCTTGTATTAAATTTTGGCCCAAACCAAAATCAGAAAATAAGTCAAATTAAACGCAATAAAACCATTACCTAATAGTTTCATTCAATGTGTAAGTTTATGTAAATGTAATAAATCTTCATGTTCTTTAGTTCCCAAATTACCTATATTTTCCTGTTTACCAGTGGAAGACATATACTTTGTAATCCCAACAGCAGCTCTTTAGCTCTTCCAATAGCAATTGCGTTAATCGCTGTGCTTCACCAGTTGCCGTATACGCAGCATAAATTGTTAGATTTTGCCAATTTTTGTCCTTATGTTTTCTATCATATTTCATAAAGCTAAGACTTTTTTATAGAAAAAATAGTAACAAACGAGCACATAGTCCACCTGATGGTAAGTGGTTGCTGTGGCCCATAGACATCTACATCTATCATCGCATTACGAATCAAATTGCAGATGCGTCGTCACCCATAAGGACTAAGTTAGCTCAGAGGCCGGGGAAAGACCACACTCTAATAGAATATCAGCGTAAAGCTGTTTCGTATGGAGAGTGTAGAGAATCGGATACCCTTTTTACTGAAACCGAGTCATTTCATCTTAGTTATCAGAGGTCACAACGCATTTGGCCAAAGTATTCACTTACCATCAAGTGAACTGTTTATTTATTTATTTGCTTTGTATGTTTTCTACGTGGTAGAGCCATGCTGCAGCTATATTAGTAGTATAGTTGTAGCACGAACGGGTCGGCTCGACCGGGGAAGGATCACGCTCTCACAGAAAACCAGCGTAAAATAATAATATATAATAATAATATTCCACAACTATCACACAACGCCATCTAGTCCCAAGCTAAGCAGAGCTTGTGTTATGGGTACTAGACAACTAATAAACATACTTATATATTTCTAAATACATAAATATTATAGATAAATTACACCCAACACAGAACAAAATGATCGTGCTCATCACACAAACATTTGTCCTGGGTGGGAATCGAACCCACGACCTCCGGCATAGCAGTCAGGGTCACTAACCACTAGACCAACAGGCCTGTCAGCATAGCAGCAATAGCAGCTTAACGCTGGTGTGTTTCGTATGGTGAGTGTAGAGAATCAGAGACCCCTTTTACTGGCAAAGAGGCATTCCATCTTAGTCCTCACGGGTGACAACGCATCTGCATCTTGAGTCTTTATTGAGGATAGATGTAGATGTCTATGGGTCACAGTAACCACTTACCATCAGGTGGACTGTGTGCTCGTTTGTCACCCTATCCAATTAAAAAAAAGAGATATTATTAAATACTACGTATAACATGCGCTGATGGAGACATGCAAATTTGTTTATTTTTGGAAATTTTAGTTTAAAAATAATTCTGTAACATATGAAACAAATTATTATCATATGATTGAATTTGCAGCAACAAAACGATCCATCAAATTATATAAAGTTACGAAAAGTGTAATTAAAAAAAATTAATAATTAACGAATACAGAATATAAAATTAAACAATATTATATACCATATCAGTTAATAATAAAAATGTCAATTTAGTCCAGGAGGAACCAACGCGCACTCAGGGCAGACAACTGCTCCATAATCCTCTCAAAACTGAGAAGAGGCCAGTGCGTAGCAGTGTGCAATACGTAGGGTGTAATTTTACTTTACTTTATACTTAACACAAATTCAATAAGACAGAGCAGTATATGTACGTATATTTCATACATGGAAGAGTCATGCTGCAGCTATATTATGGTTGTAGCACGAATAGGTCGGCTCGACCAGGGAAGGAATACGCTCTCACAGAATACCAGCGTAAAATATCATCGAATGCTGCTGTGGTTCCTATGGTAAGTGTGGTGAGTGTAGATATGGAGACCGTTTTTACTGGATATGAGGTATTCCATCTAATTAGTCTTCAGAGGTGATAATGCAACTGCATTTTGATTCTTAATCGAGGATAGATGTAGATGTTTGATGGTGTTTAGCACTCACTTAGAATCAATTAGACTGTGTGCTCGCTCGTCACACTTATTTTACAAAAAATAAAGCTACACTTGTTTGTGGATTTAAAAGGAAATATCCCAGGGTATTAGGTGAGAGCAAACATTTTAATCTGCATACCAGTTGGCACAATTTGCAAAGGAATAAAATAATCCAACGCATTTGTCTTATAGCTGATGCTCTCAAAAAAAAAACTTAATATCTTAAGCTTTGTTTCAAAACGTAAATAAAGGTGATAATTAAATATGAGATAAAATAAATCTGACTTATTACCAAACATCACAGCGTTATATAAACGGAGCGCAACACAAATTAATTCATTCCAATTCAAAGTCCATGCCAAAGTCAGATCTAAAATGCTAATATATATTTTGATTGCGTTAGCAAGTATATGTTACTTCTGGTACTACTATTTGACAAAAACATTTAACTATTGGAAATCAAGAAATGTAGTCGGACCAAAACCGGTTCCACTGTTTGGCAATTTACAAGAATCTGCTTTGAGGAGAAAGAATATTGGAGTGGTTTTCAAAGAGATTTATGATGCGTATCCCAATGAGAAAGTAGTGGGAATGTTCAGGATGACAACTCCATGCTTACTACTTCGCGACCTGGATGTGATCAAGCATGTTCTGATAAAGGATTTCGATTACTTCTCTGATCGAGGAATTTCGTTCAGCGAGAAAGGATTGGGAAACAATTTATTCCATTCTAACAGTGATATGTGGCGGGTCTTGAGGAATCGATTTACGCCAGTTTTCACTTCCGGAAAACTTAAGAATATGGTTTATTTACTTAGCCAGCGCGGAGATAAGTTCATAGATTTTGTCGATGACATTTGTCAGAAGCAACAGGAACATGAAGTGAGCTCCTTAGTTCAAAAGTACACAATGGCGACTATCTGGGCATGTGCATTTGGGTTAGAGATCGACACAATTAGCAATACCCATAATTCCATATTCAAAAAGATCGATGACATTATACTCACACCGACATATATTGATGAGATAGACATGATGTTTCCAGGAGTTTTAAGAAAATTGAATATAGACCCTTTCCCCAAGGAAGTGTCAGAGTTCTTTGAGCGACTCGTTAAAAACGTAATAGAACAGAGAAATGGTAAACCAACAGATAGAAAAGATTTTATGGACTTGATTTTGGAATTGAGAGAAGAACATAAAATCCAAGGGCCAAAAAGAACCGGAGATGAAAATGAAATGACTTTAGAACTAACAGACGACATAATCGCTGCACAGGCATTTGTATTTTATGCAGCTGGCTATGAAACGAGTGCTAGCACAATGGCTTTCATGTTGTATGCGTTAGCGAAAAATCCCGACGTTCAAAATAAAGTGATCGCTGAAGTAGACAGAGTACTCGAAAAATACGATGGCAAGCTGTCATTCGAAGCACTCAACGATTTTAAATATTTGGAAAAAGTTTTCAGTGAGACCCTTAGGTTTTATCCCTTACTTGAGCCATTACAAAGGAATGCACAAAAGGATTACAAGATCCCCGGGATGAATGTGACGGTGAGAAAGGGTCAAATGGTACTCATATCGTCTTTAGGCATCCAGCACGATGAAAAACATTACCCGAACCCGGAAAAATTTGATCCCGAAAGATTTTCTTCTGAAAATTCAAGTGGCCGCCATATCTGTGCATACCTTCCATTCGGAACCGGTCCCCGAAACTGTATAGGTAAGTTTTTAGATCTTACATCATTCTCGCTAACTGCAAAAAGTTATTTGCTTTAAATAAGTATCTATTTTGGTCTTGTATTTAAGTTTGCGTTTGCGGCAAGAAACATTTTTATTTCTATAGTCTTACTTAAGTAAGCATTTGCAAGATGTGCATAAGTTTTAAAAATAAAAATTTGCGCAAAATTTGGAGCAGTGGAGACTTGTCAGAGCATACACATTCGCTGTTCACGCACCCAGCATTCAGGCTTTACTATTTTTCTTCTTCTTTTTCTTTATTTTATATGAAATGTCAGCAATGCTATTAACATTAGTAACATTCCGATTAGCTACTTCTGGTAAGCTTGTGTTAGGAGTGGTTCACGACAGTAGTCGAATGGCGGATTCGAACCCACGACCTTATTGAGTTCGCAGTTCGCACCCTACCATTAGGTTATTGTAAATTAACAATGCAGTTTTGCTTTTCGTTTGTTTTGTGCAAACTGCACAATATGACACAAGTTATACGTTTTCCTGCCCATCCATATTAACGACTCAAGCCAAAGCACTGTGCGCTTAAAATCAAAAAGTTCAATTTTTCTAATAAAAATGTTTAGTAAGAGTTATTACACTACTGTAGAGTATATGATCAGTAATGACCCTTCGGAATGAGGTGATTGCTACCATGATATTACTTAATGATTTCATACTAATTAAAAATATTATAAAGTATTCATGTATAAGATAATATAATGTATAAAAGGATTCAACTCGGCTGGGCAGCGTTCGGGAAATAACGACCCATTTTCTCGTCAGGTCAAAACCTGAAAACGTGATTGTAGCACCAGTGCGTGTTGCCGCTACTGCTGGTCGTATAAGGACGCTCAAAGTCGCTGAACGAGCTATGG